ATAACTGTATTAACCTCAACATAACTGTAGTAACATCAGTATAACTGCAGTAACATCAGTATAACTATAGTAACATCAGTATAACTGTAGTAACCTCAACATAACTACAGTAACATCAGTATAACTGTAGTAACGTCAGTATAACTGTAGTAACCTCAGATTATGTACAAACTACGGTATGAAGACGTGCATCTTGGTCTGTCACTAACAATCAATGCCCCGTTAAAACAAATTAATGGATTCAGAAAGTTTATACCAAATCCATTCTTTTGTTAAAAAGGTTTTTCTGTTGTAAAATATCTGCAGGAGCGGAAGATGCACGGCATCATATTGTATAGTACTGGTATTTATTTGAGCACACAGGACTACTTTTATACAAGAAAATTGTCATATTTATAGACATAATCCATGCAAAGCCTATGTCAAAACATTGTGCTGCAGTAGCAGCTCCTCTGCAAAACATACTGTTGAACTGAAGCTAAATATTGTGCGTTAAACAGATGCTGTAAATATGAATTGATATTAATGTGAATATTGTAAAATTATAATTATGACCCTCCCAAGTAGACACATATATAGATATATATATCTATATATGTGTGTGTGTGTATATATGTAGACAGACAGATAGACAGATATATGTTGTGTTATAATATGTAAACTGTGTGTGTCTGTTGTGTGTTTTCAGGTGTGGAGCAGAGGATCCAGCAGTTGATCAGAAGAAAAGAGGAAAAATCAGCTGAAGTTTCTCAGATGTTAGAAACAGTTGAATCTTTACGACAGAACATTACCATACGAGCCAAAGTTTATGCCTCCTGTACTTCATAAATACTACAGAATACTACCTAATGTAATACAGCTGTACTTCATGAATACTATAGTCTCACTAGATGTAAATGATTGTCTCACTTTAATCATCTACATCTTTATTAAAATTGTTTGTTTGTTTTTAGTTTATTTCTGAAATTAACCAAAAACATTTAAAGACACTTTTTTTAAAATAAAACTGACGACAACTATTTTAAGAACAAGTCTCTGCAGGTCATCACACGTTCACAGTGATTACCCACAATACACCGGTAACACACACACACACACTCACAGCTCTCCCTTTGTTGTTGCAGGTGAGGTTTAATGGTGGGGGAGGTGTGTGTGTGTGTGTGTGTGTGTGTGTGTGTGGTAGGAGTCCGACCCCCCACCTGAACATCTGTAGCTACAGTGTGTGTGTGTGTGTGTCTCCGGGGGGTCAGGAATGTCTTTGTCTGAAGAGTCTTGGGGGAGGATGTGATACTTTG